AAAAAAAAAGTTTTGAGACCCAAACTCAAAGTCAGACAGTCTGCGTTGAACCCATTAACTAAACTCATACAGTAACCATTTGCTGTTTGCAGCAGCCAAGCAGTTGAACAGCCTTCCTTGTCTTGGAAAATTCCAAGATATGAGGGAAACAGGGCCTCACTTTCTACTAGGAGAGTTAAGGAAGGTGACATTTCCTTCCCCAGTTCCCAAAGGGATGAGCTTCTAAGACAGGCATTGTGTGGGTCCCATGCTTGTCCCAGTGGCCAAGGAGAAGGATCATAAAATCGGCAGCACCATCAGAGCCTCATGTCTCTTGACAGAAAAAAGGTGGCAGGGATGTATACTAGGCACATGCCATTGACGTCTACTAGAGTTTGAATGGCAAATGAAATGTACTAGGATGCCATTTATTCATTCAACTAATACATAGAGATCATCTGGTTGGCACAGCCTAGACCTTGGAAGATGAATCTATACAGGAAAACAGGACATCCTATGCCAGACTGAGGAGCTTGGCTTTTCTCCTGAGGATAGTGGGAGCTTTGGGAAGTTTTATTGTTTGTCTTTGGTTATTTACTTTTTTTTTCTTTAGTTAGGGTCTCACTGACTCTCAGGCTGGAGTGCAATGGCACAATCATGGCTCACCACAGCCTCAAACTCCTGGGCTTAAGCAATCCTCCTGCTTCTGCCTCCCAAAGTGCTGGTATTACAGGCACATGTCACCATGCCCAGCTAATTTTTTGGTTATTTGTAGAGATGAGGTCTTGCTATGTTGCTTAGGCTTGGTTATTGACATTTAACTGAAGTGCAACTTACATACAGATAAGTGGACAAGACATATCAATGGAAAGAAGTTTTGCAGATGTAAATAGCCATGAAACCACAACCAGGTCAAGACATAGAACAGTCTCAGCACTCCCAATGCTTACTTGGGAGAGTTTTGAGCAAGGGAGGGATGGAATCAGACCTATTTAAAAACAGATAGTGATAGAGGTAGCTGCAGGCTCTGTGGAAATTGAGAAAAGGCATCTGACTCAGTCTGGAGGTCAGGAAATTCTTCCCAGATAAGTGACATCTTGTTTAGTCTCGAAAGATGGTTGAGTTTTTGTTACAGGGAACAGAGACCAGGGTGCGTGTCATAGGCAGAGGAAAACAGTATATGTAAAGACAGGTGGTAGGAAAGAGGCCAGTGCATGTAAAGAGGCATAGGCAGCACCCTGTTTCTGGGATTAAAAAAAAAATGGAACCAGGGAAGGATTTAAGGCTACAGAGTGGTATAAAATAAGATGGTAGGTAAGCAAGGCTGGGCTTGGTGGCTCACACTTGTTTACCCAGCACTTTGGGAGACAGAAGCTAGAGGATCGCTTGAGTCCAGGAGTTCTAGGCCAGCCTGGGCAAAATAGTGAGACCTTGTCTCTGCAATTTTTTTGTTGTTAAATAAAGAGGTAGGCAAGAGCCCATGCAGAATTTTGAACACCAGTTTGAGCTTTACTCTCAAGTGCCCATGAAAGGGCGGAGAGCAGGGGAAGGCTGAAACAATTCTAGGTGGGGAAAAAGACCCTCTGGGACCTGTATAGGAAATGAATGAAGGAGGTGAGACTGGAGGCCAAGAGGTGGTCAGGAGTCTGGGACTGTGGTCCAGGTGGGAGAGAATGAGGCCTGAGGCAGGGCATGTGGATGGAGAGGAGAGAAGGGCAGAGAGAGGCAGGGCAGGAGGGACGGGGTTGGAGGCTGACAGGCTGCGAAGGAGGGTGAAGAGGGAAGTGGCGTGGACAGCACCTGGGTTCTGGCCCAGTGACCAGTAGGCAGGGGAGCCGTTCCTAAGATGGAGAGCCCATGATAGGAGTGGGCTTGGAGAAAGACTCTGCTTATTTGACGGGTGAACCCCTGAGTCCTGAGCTCCGAGTCTGGAGAGGGGGTTCAGGGTGTTGTCAGCTGTGGGTGGTGATGGAAGCTGTGGGAACTGTTGAATTTTCCTGGAAGTGGGGAGGGATGGGAATGGGTTCCAGGCACCATTTTGGGAAAAGCTTCAATGGCTAGGAAATGGATTTGGGAGAAAGTAGAGTATGGGAAGAACCCAGGCTAGTACCCAGCTACCCGGGCCTCCAGGAAACTGGAGGAGGCTCCTTACAGGGCTATCGTGAGATTCAAGGAGCCAATGCAAGTGCAGCACTGAGAAGGGTGCCTGGCATGTAGCAACTGTTCATTCACATTTAATTCCGTTTCTCAGTGAACGTAGTGGAAAAGTCTAGACTTTTGAAGTGGCACAGATTTGGATTTTCTCACCGCCTCTGATAACTTAGAAAAATTGCTCCTGGCTTTGAGAGTCTTATTTATTTGTAAAATTAGGCCATTCCGAATGGTTTCTGAGGAATGCAGTTATTCCTTCCTTATTCAGTATTTCCGAATGACACTTAGGAAACAGTCCCGCCCCCACAGTCTCAGGGCCAATTAGGGCTCGGTCCGCCTCCTCAAAATGCAAATTATAGGGGACTTTGCCAACCATACGTGCCCACCCCGCTTCCCGCTCGCCGACGCGCCCTGCTCCACCAATCAGAGCACGATCCGCACGAGCTGCGCCAAGTAACGCGGATCAGGGTCCTTCGCGTCCCTCGGCGAGTGGGTTGTCATGGTTACCATTAAGAGGCGGGGCTTTAGGGCAGGCCCGGCCTCTGGGAAGATAGGCAGATTTTTTTCCTCCTGATTTCGAATTCTTTAGAGAGGCAGATTTTGATTGGATGTTTCCTCAGTTCAGCTGCGGCCCAAGTCCCCCCACCCCATCCCTCCTGGAGCCTAATGCCTGCTCCCCTCTCTCCTCTCCTCTCCTCTTGCCCTAGCCTGACGCAGCCAGAAAATCCTGAAGAAACTGCTTTAGGTTGCTGCGACAGGAGGAAACCCTTTTCTTTTTTTCTTTTTTTGAGTTGGGGTCTCGCTCCGTTGCCCAGACTGGAGTGCAGTGGCCGCTCCCGGCCACCGCAGCCTCGACCTGCTGGGCTCCGGCGATCATTCCGCCTCAGCCTTCCAAGTTGCCGGAATTACAGGCGCGCGCTACCATGCC